ATATTTTCTTGGAATACATTGGGCCCCATTAATATAAGTTGATCATTATGTAAATGCCACAGCCTATGTGAAGATAATTACTGACCATATGCATCTCTCATGGCCACAGTATATACATCATCCAGTGGATATGAACTTCTCTTTTAGGCGTTCCACTCAGGTCACCAGAATGGTGCACAAGGATTGTAACCCTCTCCTCCAGCTTCAGCATTATACTGGAGCCTAAGAGACTAACAAAATACAGTGCTGCATTAAAACAGCCAGTGAGGGGCAGGAGGGAAGAATCCAAGAATATGCCAGGGTATATGTTTCCTACATAATACAGATGTTTAATTTTGGCATTGGTAGATATGTTTACTGACCATTATGTCAATTTTGAGAACCAGCATTCCTGCAAATACCAACAGATTCTTTACATGTACCCGGGATATTTAATAATTTTTATACATTTTAATATGTGCGGAAATGTGTAAGATACATAATCAGCATTGCTAAATTGTATTTTATACATCTATTTTTTCAGTACTCTACACCGTATTGTACACCATCCTGATTCGGTTTCCTACTCGATAGTTCCATGTCAGTATGGGATATTTGCAAGTTGTTTGGCGTTTTTATTAGTGATGCTATTTGTACTATTTAGTGCTTTGCAATGCTTTTCCTAAAAGGGATGTATAAGAAGCAGTTCACCAAATGCTGTACAAATATTTTTATGTTTTAATGGTGAGATGCACTTATCTCTTCTTTAACTCTTATGTCTTTATTTTTTAAGGTTTTTCCTTTAGTCTCATTTTATTACTCAATAAAAAGAATCCCATTCCTCTTAGGGTAGTGGATGAAAGGCTGGCTTGGTATGGCTCATTGGCTGCTGCCCTTTAAGAGGTTACTGTGAAGCCATCTGTGTATCTGACAGTCCAATGGCTTCAGAATCTAATCCATTCTCTGTTATCCATATCTCCCAAGCTCACCTGACACAGTGACAAACAGCCAATATCCTGTGGCCTCGGGCACATTGAGGGGTGAGAGAGAGAGCAGGGGGTCAAGATGTCTCATTGTAATATGGCTGATGCCATCTACTATGCACTTTATGTCTTTCACTCCCCTCCCCCCTTGTATCCCATGTCTGATTTTATTACATTTATTTATACATTTTATACTGACAATTTCCTTGTTTCTTTTTTTTTCCCTTAATTTCTTTTCTCTCTTATTAGTCTGTTTGAATCCTTTAATCAGTTCTACTGTTTGTCCTCATAGCGTTAACATAAATTTCGATTTACTATATTGTTTTTTTTTTATTGTTTCATGACAAACAACTTAACGGTTTCTTTAAATAATATACATTATATTTATAGTAGCGAAGTTAAATGTGGGAAAGCAAATAAATATACTTACACAAACATGTCAAACAATGTAACAACAATTTTAAGATTTATTTTTTTAACTGTGACATAATTTATTATTATTATTATTATTTTATTATTTATATAGCGCCAGCAAATTCCGTAGCGCTGTACAATGGGATTTAAATAAATAGATACATTGTTAGCGGCTGTGTATGTATACAGTAATAGTAACAGAAGAATGCACAAGCTTCCATGACATCATGACAATTATAAATCGGGATGGATGAAATTTCACACACTAAAAAAGAAACAGACAAAATCTGTCTATTTTTATATGTCTTAAAAAAGCTAGTTTAACCTTCATCCTATTGTTGTCTTTTTGTTTCTATCTTATTTGTTGGATATCATTGCTGAAAAAATAAAAATGCAGTACCAATGTAAAAAGTTAAATACATTTATTTACCATCAAACTCAATTATTTATTTTAAATGAACACAATGGTGTTAAACCCACTATTTTGTGACTTGTCCTCTTATGGAGTGATGGATTAGTTGGGGACATTTGAGTACAAGTACGATGTAGAAGAGTTTGTTTTCCAGATTGAGGCATGCCTGTCCGAATACCCTTCTTGTTGATCTAGTGCTTTATAAAGGTTAGTTTAAATAAATCCAAAAAATATTTTCATTGTAGCAAGATTTAAAAAAATAAAATAAGAGGACAAGGAACAACACTCTGTGCTATGTGCTAAGATGATGTAGAATGTCAAATGTAGAATTAACGAAATTCCTATTGTCATCTACTTTATTCTTATGACCATTTATTGTTACTAAATAAACGGGCAATGGGTCAATCCAGTCAAAGCGTAAAGATAAACAGCAAATTAATATGCTAACCATAATTTGAAATAAATCAATAGATTGATAATGATTTTTCCTTAGGACTGCGACTAGCAGAGCTTTGCATGCAATACATCTACCACAAAAAAGATTATATGAACCAGCTGTTGTGATAGCAACACAATGGGACTGGAGACACCTTACTACACCAGCTGGCCCTTTGGGAAGCAGGTGGTCAGGTTGGATGAAAGAGTGGGGAGGGCGTGCAAAAGAAATCAAAAGAGGAATTAAATTGGAAGGCAGGTGTGCAAGAATCCCAGATGGGAAATATAACATTTTATATTCTATTGTGAATTTTTATGGATTGAAAACCTGTTCTAAATCCATTTTAGAAAATTAAAATCCACAAATTATAGATCCTGTTCTTGTGACTGTAATGAAAAGCTGTGAAAAAAAAAAGGTTAGTGGGATTAGTTAACACGTTAATTAATCTAAATTGAGCTCTCTTTCACGCATATACTTGATTGCTCTAAATTCCTCAAGCAAAACCATGTTTAAAATGCTGATCCAGTTTTGCAGTAATTAGTCATGGTGATACAGTTCTCTCTACAATAAAAAGGATAAAAAACTAATAGAATATACACTCAACAATCTAAATGTAGAATGTGGGGAACTTTTGTTCAATAATGTGCTCAATGCCAGGGCTGTTCCAGACGGTGATGTCTATATCTTCCAATATTTCAGATGGCCAATGAGGAATACTTTAATTTAGGGGTGTAACTAAAATGTGATTTAGAACAAGAACAAGGCACAGCCAATGAAAATTTGTATATTTATGGCAGTTTCTGTTTAACAAGAAAATATGCACCAAATTATTTGCATTATAACAGGTTCGTGGTTTGGCAGAAAAAAAAAAACAGAAAAAACTTGCACCATAGCTCGCCCTAGTTTTAGTTAATTTCACCAGGAGCCGGAGCCCTTGGTGTATCAGTATATACTGAAATTCTCTGGAACTGGTCTCCTGCAGCCTAAGCCTGGTCATGCATTGACTTCAGATGGAGAACTAAAGAAGTTTATGGGACACAGCAGTCATAGTAATAGCAGGTTATGTAGAAATCCATACAGCAACATGTAAGAAACGTTTTCTTCTTCATGGATGAAAAGGTTGCATCTGGTTAGTTTGAGAATGCCAGAGAATTAACTCAAGCATTTACTTACAGATCTGAATAGTATTGTTTGCCACAACTATAGCTGTTTTGTGCTCTTTTATTAAAATTAGGGTAGAAAAAAACAAAAACATAAAAAGACCTTATCTCTGATTGTCCCTCATTTGGTCTCTCCGGGGACCACTATATCAAGAGACCACTACATTGCTGTGACTTCTCCGCTACTACTGGTCCTCCCATTGCTTTCAGTAGTAGTTTTGTATATCGCATACACTCATGTGCGTCAGTGGTTTATAACAAATATAGTGCGGCTTTAGCTCCCTAAGGAAGATATGGGAGACCAGCATAGAAGACCTAGTTGACAGGTGTTTTCCTTAAAAAAGAATCCAACTAAAAATGCCAATGGGAGCCATCATGTTGATTAACTCATTTTTTAAAAAGAATAATTGACTTACTATTTGGTTTGCTAATCATGTATGTGCTAGGACCGGTCTTTACATAGAAAGTTAAAAATTCCATAAATTCATGTATAACGTCTGCAAGTGGCTTATCTTGCTATGATCTCTTTAAACAAAGGTTGTGCCAGAGGATTTGTGGACACATTTCTTTACCCACAAAATTCCACAAGGCTTCTTACCATGATTAATCACATACTGTTTTAGGATACAATTACAAAGAAGATTTCACTGCAGAATTTAATATTGCTCATTGTGACCTTAAGGATTTACGTTAGGGATCCCCTCAGAATATTTTATGGATAAATTTCTACAGCAGTTAGGGACAGAACTCTCCAGGTACTTTGAAAACAACCCGATTCAATAAGAATCGGTGTCAGTTATTAGGTTCTGTTTCTCATGTATATTTAATTCTACCATCTTTCTTTTATTCTTAAGTGGGAATCTGATCTTGGAGAGGTCTTGGAGGAGCAACAGTGAGAGAGGATTTTGCAGCAGCTTAGAAACTGACCATCCCTACGATATCAAATTAAATTGTGATATGTTCAAGCACACTTGTATGTATACCCTACAAAACATCCAACATTGATATCCTTTTAATTGCTCTCCGTTCCCTGGTACCCTGGAGCATTGATGGCAAAACTTTAAATGCCAGCAACGCAAATAAAAATCAAGGTCTCTGAATTTTTAGGTATGAGTATAATAATCTCATAAGGATAAGTAAGGTATTTTTCTTAAAAGAAATTGAAGACACAAGTTTACAGAGTGCATGCAGTGCTGATGTGAAAAAAAATGATGAAGTATATCTTGTCAATCTCTGCAAATCCCTTTAACTTCACACTTTAGTCATCTGAACTATGTCATCTCTTGGAAATGGTTATAGTGCCTGCAGTCCCCTGTCACTGCTTCTCCATTCAGTATTAAACCATCATTGAGCTATTTAACACTAAATAAATAAGGTTCACTGGCCACCCACAGGCCCGCCCCCTTTGGAGGTATGGCTAAGGCAGTGATTACACACTTATAGCCTTCCTTACCAATTCATACCAGCAATAGGTGCTGTGATAGGATGAAAGTGGTCAGCTGACACTCTCAGCCAATAACAGTAACCCATTTCTGCTCAGGCTAATGCTTCCACATTATCCCAAGCAGCACAGAGTAGATGGGAAATTGAGGATTTTCATAAAGCATGTAAGTATTACAAATTGTTTAATGCTGAACAATTCATCTCATTAAAGTGGTTATAGTGTCCCCTGGCACTGGCCTCCCGCCAGTGCCAGGGGACACTATAACCACTTTAATGAGATGAGGCGGTTACAGCTGTCTACAGAGCCATGTTAATATATATTTGTAAACCATGAATTGCTTCTCTCTAAACCTTATGTCATTATTAGTTAAAGGACCACTATAGTGCCAGGAAAACATACTCGTTTTCCTGGCACTATAGAGCCCTGAGGGTGCCCCTTACCCTCAGGGTCCCCCTCCTGCCGGGCTGGATGGAGAGGAAGGGGTTAAACTTACCTCTTTCTCCAGCGCCGGGCGGGGAGCTCTCCTCCTCCTCTTTGGCTGAATGCGCATGCGCGGCAGGAGCCGCGCACACATTCAGCCAGTCCATAGGAAAGCATTCTAAATGCTTTCCTATGGACGCTGGCGTCTTCTCACTGTGAAAATCGCATTGAGAAGCGCGGAAGCCCTCTAGCGGCTGTCAATGAGACAGCCACTAGAGGCTGGATTAACCCATAGGTAAACATAGCAGTTTCTATGAAACTGCTATGTTTTTAGAAAAAATTGTTAAACCTAGCTGGACCAGGCACCCAGACCACCTCATTAAGCTGAAGTGGTCTTGGTGCCTATAGTGGTCCTTTAATAAACATGTATTTCACTATATGCTCATTTTGAAATATAAGAATGAGTCTCTGTCGAAAAGTCTCCAAATAATTTAAATGTCAGTATTGGAATACGTATTTTATTTTCTATATGTTTCATGTTTCAGGGTAATTATTTACTGCTTGGTAGAATGACATATACCTAGTGTGGATTTTAATATGGCTTTAACTGTATAATATAAAATATGTCAAGATTTAACAAAACACTTTCATTGAAAACAGACGACAGTTTGTTGTAGTGAGTTTAACAGGAAATTGGTGACTAGCGATGCTCCATACCAGGCTTCCCTAAACTCTGGCCCTCCAGATGTTGCTCAACTACAACTCCCATGATTATATGAATGTATTAGATAGGCTGAGAATCATGGGAGTTGTAGTTCAGCAACATCTGGAGGACCGGAGTTTGGGGAAGCCTGCTCCATACTCTTGCTTTTTTTATAACAAGTTTTATTAAACGTAGTTATAGTGCACAATTACAACATTAAAAAGGTTCAGAGTTTCCTTTTAAAAATATTCAAATACTAAGCTATTTGTAAAGGGGCCTCTCATTGAATTGTATCCACATGCATTGCACCTGCTAGTGTGCTGTACCTTGAGTGATAAAAATCAGCAGGATGTGTGAATCTATAGGAAAATAGATTAGTTAGGGATTAGGAAAAGCAGGTATGCTGTGGGCTGATGTATGATTTAACTATAAAATTGTGATTGAAAACCTCTTCCACCTGAAGTCTGTGGATAGTTAAAGGACCACTATAGTGCCAGGAAAACATACTCGTTTTCCTGGCACTATAGTGCCCTGAGGGTGCCCCCACCCTCAGGGTCCCCCTCCCGCCCGGCTCTGGAAGGGGGAAAGGGGTAATAACTTACCTTTTTCCAGCGCTGGGCGGAGAGCTCTCTGCCTCCTCTCCGCCCCCGCCCCGCCGGCTGAATGCAACGCGAGCTGCGCGCGCATTCAGCCTCTCATGGAAAGCATTTACAATGCTTTCCTATGGACGCTCGCTCTCACTGTGATTTCACAGTGAGAAGCATTTCTAGTGGCTGTCAATGAGACAGCCACTAGAGGATTAGGGGAAGGCTTAACCCATTCATAATTATAGCAGTTTCTCTGAAACTGCTATAATTATGAAAAAATGGGTTAACCCTAGAAGGACCTGGCACCCAGACCACTTCATTAAGCTGAAGTGGTCTGGGTGCCTAGAGTGGTCCTTTAATACAATGTTAAACAAAAATCTGCACACCAGTCAAGCCATAAAACTTGCTTTTCCCACAGAAATCATTGTAAATTTGTAATTTCTGTTGGGAAAGCAAGTCTTATGGCTTGACTGGTGTGCAGATTTTTTTGTTTAACATTGTATTGACTATATATATATAGTGTAGATTGCATTAGGCATATTAGTCCAGTAGACAAGATGCCAAAATACCAGAGTATTGCAGTATGCAATGATACCTTTTTTTATTGGACTAACATAATATTTTAAAGAGAAGCTTTCGAGAGTTTCCTCTCTTCCTCAGGTCTGAAGCAATACTGATCAATCTGATAGAGTTTAACACTTAAAACAACTGATGTTAGAGAAGGGGAGGGGGGGTAAGTGTGGTGTCATAAATAGCAGAAGATGATGTAACAAGTTCGCCGAACTGGTGATTAATCTGGCCAACTGAGGTGTCGGCCCACGGTTCATGACCGAGGGCCGACACCAGGAGGGGGCCCGGCGGGCTACCTTGTAGTCAGCCACTGCCTCCGGTCTGCTGCTCCGCCAGGTGCAGAGCTGCAGACCATGGAGTAGAGATCTTGCGATCTCCAGCAAAACACAACATTGCCGCGGGTTACAACGGCAACACTATGACACCTCAAGTGCCGGATCTCTGCATCATGGTCTGCAGCACTGCACCTGGCGGAGCTGCAGACCAGAGGCAGTGGAACACTGGATACCGAGTCCACTGGAGACCACCGGACGACCAGGGAGGTGGAGACCACTAGACCACCAGGGAATGGATTACACACAAAAAAGGTATTTAACCCACAGTCTCCCCATATGCTACCCCCACACTGCCACCATCCCCTCACACTACCACTCCCCAGCTGTCACCATCCCTCACACTAGCAGCACCCCCACTGTCCCCATCCCCCCCATTGTCACTACTTTCCACACTATCACCCCACCCCCAGAGAGAGACAGCATAAAGAGGCAAAGGGCAGAGAGATTGCACACAGTGTCCGGGTGCAGAGCAATTGCACAGAGATGCTGGTAACAGAGAGGTGGCACAGAGATGATGGTGGCAGAAAAATGACACAGGGAGGTTAAGGGCAGAGAGATGGCGCAAAGGGTAGGGAGATAGCACAGAGAGGCTGGTAACAAAGCGATAACAGAGTGAGGCTAAGGGCAGAGAGATGGCACACAGAGGCTTGGAGCAGAGAGATGGCCCTAGAGGCTGGGAGCAGAGAGATGGCACTGGCAGGTTGTTTAAGGGCACATGGAACTACCAGACGTTTGAAGCCACAGGTGGCTCATTGGCATGACAAACAAAGTTTAAGAATTTACTGCTGTTTGGCATGATATTCAGGATGTATGCATTTACTGTTCATTGGCATGATATACAAGGTTTATGCATTTATTGCATTAATAGAATTACCCTGCTGCCCATGTGTTTTTCCCAACCATGGCATATATGTGTGAATGCGTCGATGTGCATGTGTGCGCGTGCATGACGAGGGGGGCGGGGTGGAGTCCCACCCAGAATCCTTTGCAAAATCCACTCAGTAACATCACTGGAAATTTGGAATTTATATATTTTTAACACAGAGAGGTATAGGTACATGAAATATCCTTCATTCAGATATTATGGAGCATAGAATAGCCAAAGATATCGTGTAGTTGTGACTTATTAGACATAGAACTAATAATCCTTAAATGGCTATAACTATGATGGATATTTATTTGGTGGTGGAATATAGGTTTAGTTAATAATATAAAAACAGTGTTTTCTTTGCATAAAACTGATATATGTTTTGCCTGCGTGATTTTTACTTCCTGGTTTCCTGCTCTCTTCCTCTGGTATTTCCTGCAGACTCCACAGCACAAGTTTAGTGCGTTCATGCTCCCAACTTCACAAGCTCAATGAAAGTCATGTGTGACGTCAGATGCGCACTAATGTTTGGATTTTTGTCTGAAGTGATTGAAGGAAATGTCACAAATGTTGTGCATAAAGTACATTGTCTTTCTCCTGTGCTCCAGGATAGAAAAGGGACAAGTATAAATGATGCAAAAAAAATTCAAAAAGTGACAAGAAGAGAAGTAATCTAACATGAATATTACTGGAAAGAGAAAGGATTATTATTATTGACATTTATATGGCAGCAACTTATTCCGCAGCTCTTTACAATATTATAAAGAAGGAAATTTAACAATAGCTGAGACAATTACAAAATTTTACAGGAACAATAGGTTGATGCGGACCCTGCTCAAACTAACTTACAGGGTAGAGATTTTAATACACTTATTAAAACCAAAGTGCAGACATTTCGACTTCTACATCATTGCAATCATGTTTTAAACATGAACATACCGTGATATCATAATGAAAAGATTGCCAGAATTGTGGTCTAAAAGCCCAAATCACTATTAAAGGACCACTATAGGCACTCAAACCGATTCAGCTTAATGAAGTGGTCTGGGTGCCAGGTCCATCTAGTGTTAATCCTGCAGCTGAAAACCCTAGGGTTAATCCAGCCTCTAGTGGCTGTCTCACTGACAGCCGCTTGAGGCGCTTCCGCGCTTCTCACTGTGAAAATCACAGTGAGAAGACGCTTGATGTCCATAGGAAAACATTTAGAAATGCTGCGCATGCACATTCTGCGCTTACGTCGGCAGGGGGAGGAGAGTTCCCCAGCACTGAGGGAGCACGGCGCTGGAGAAAGGTAACCCCTTTGGCCCCCTTCAGCCCAGGGTGGGGGGGACCTAAAGACCCTATAGTGCTATAGTACGAGTTTGTTTTTCTGGCACTATAGTGGTCCTTTAAGTAAGCATTCTCAGTAGAATATAATTGATTCTGAAATGTATAGCTGATATTTAAATGGTCAGTATTTTTTTTTAAAAGATAGGAATTCCCCAAGAAAGCGATAACAAATTCTGTAAACAAAAATCCGGAATCTTAATTACACAAGCAAATACAGGCCACAGGTTTTTAGGGTTTTGGAATTGTAACTAAAGTTCTTCCAGATGCGTCAGTCCCACCTTAGACTGAGGTTTTGATTAAGAAGGTATCTCCTGTTTTAGGTGGCGCACGTCAAGTCTTCTTATGACGAAGGACCGCTGTCATTAGGGCCACTTGTGTTAGATTATTTCATACACTGCCTAGAAATCAGAAGATTGACTACACCAATATCTCACATGTGCCACCATTCACTGAAACGTGAGATCACTAGATCTTGACCATGT